CAGGACCTGATCCCGGGGAGATAATTAATAATTAAAGGTCATAATCTATTAATTTATTTTTAGATGAATATAAACCATTAAACCTGATTATCTATCAATTAATTTAATTTTATATCAACACAAATCCCCCTAAATCCTTGCATTTGTGGGGGGAAAAAATGTTCCAAGGTGGATTTTTAGGGGGGGGGAGCTTTTGCCTGCTTGTGGCACAGGACCCGATCCCTGGGGATGGGGGTGGGATAATTAATGATCACACCTAATTTTCTATCAATTAATTAATTTCCCCTCCTAATTAAGGAGTTCTTGGAGGGCATTGCTGGGGATTTGGGGCGTGCCCAGCCCTGGCTGAGTCAGTGCCACCAGTGCCAACGTTCCACCTGCCGGCAGCCACCATCGCTCCTTGCTCCTGCTTTTCCCGAGCCCAGGGTGAGTTTTTGGGGATGTGTCCGTGGATCCATGTCCGGGGAAAGTTCTGGGAGCGCCCAGAGCTGGATTTAAGGGGCGGAATTCCTTTTATCCCAAGAAAACAGGGCTGGGAATGAAACATTCCCAGCCGAGGCTGATTCTCTGGGATGGGAGTCCTTCCCATCCCACGTGCTTTGTTTTGGGGGCACCAGGATCTTTTCAGGAGGTGCTGGGGGCACCCATGGAGTGGGATGAATCCCAAATTTCCAGGGGTGCTCTTTGCTCCCGTCCCTCCTTCCCGGGGCCTTCGCTGAGCTGGTTATTTTTTGGAGATGCAAAATCCCCCTCGTTCTTCTGGGAGGCCTTGAGGGGCTTCCTCCCAAGTTTTTGGGGTGGGAAGTGGAAGGTTTGGAAATGAAATTAAAAACAAAAAAACCCCAAACCAACCAAAACCAAACCAACCAACCTAAACCCCTCTTTAAAAATCAAAAACAAACCCAGAAAAATCACTTTCATTCCCAGGCAACACCCAGAAAAATTCACTCCAGTTCCCAGAAAAAAAAATCAGAAAAAACAATTTAATTTCAAGGGGAAAACAAACAAAAAAAACCCCCACAAACAAGCAACAAACAAAAACCAGAAAAATCACCGTAATTCTCAGGGGGAAGAGAAAAAAAAAAAAAAAAGAAAAAATCAGTTTAATTCCCAGGCAAAAAAGCAGAAAAATCACTTCAATTTCCATGGGAAAAACAAACAAACAAATTCCACCAGAAAAAAAGCAGTTTAATTCCCAAGGGGAAAAAACCACACCAAAACCCAACAGAAAAAAAAGTCACTTTATTTCCCAGAAAGTTGACTTTAATTAATGATTGTCTAAAAGATGCTTTTACTGCTTCCCCAAAACAGGTTGGGAAGCGTCTCCTCCTTCCAAATATTAGGATAAGAGGGTCCTGCCACCATCCTGGGGTCCTGCTCCTGCTGAAGGAGGTTCTCTTGGCTCACCCCACTATCCCAGGAAAAGGTGTGTTGTTTTTTCCCTGGAGTCACCTGGAGGGCACCGGGATATATTTATATATTTATTTCCTTTTGCCAGGCTTGTTGGGCTGGTTTGGAGCTGGAAAAATCCCGAGAGCTCCGCGGTTTGTTTGCAAGGGGCGTTTTCCAGTTGGGCTGGGCCCTTTGCCAGCAGAAAACTCCTTCCTAGCCTGGAAAACACGGATGAAATAGGTAAAAGGGGTGTATTTTATATTAAAGATGTTGCATTTAATTCAATCTCTGGGTGGGCTCTTCCTGCTGCCTTAAATTCCCTATTTTTTTGGGAGGGAGGGAAGGCGAGGGGGGGTAAATGTCGTGTTTTGGGAGGATTTTTTAGGATGTGAAGGTGGTGGTGGGAATAACTTGGAATGCCAACGTGGGGCCGCGTTTTCGGCCGCCAGTGGCTCCCCTTTGGAGGTCAAATATCCCGGGGGGAAAAAAAAAAATCTGCTTCGCCTGGAAACTTGGCGTATTTTGGGGCTGTCCCTGGACATTTCGGCCTCTCCCGCTCCTTGTTTCCCCCCTCCCTCCACCCCTCTGGAAGCGGGAGGGTTAACGGGATGCTCCGGCCTCCCGCGGGCGAAGGGGATCGGTGCCGGTGCGCCGGGATTCGGGAAGCGCGGCCCGGGAAGAAGAGCAGGAGAAAGAGGAGGAGGAGGAGGAGGAGGAGGAGGAGGAGGGGGAGATGCTGCCCAAAATCCCGGCATCCCTCGCTCCAGCCGCTGGACCGAGCCGAGCGGCCGCCGGGCTGGGCCGCCGGGATTTGGGAATCGCGGGGGGAAGCAGCGGCGCCCGGGGGGGATCCCCAATCCTGGGCATCCCGGCCAGGGGCCCTTCGGGAGCCG